AAGCTACATATTTTCACTAGTTACATTAAACTATTCTAGCTAATTGAGGCCTTTGCAAATATAAACAAATTCAAATGCAATAGTGATTCTGACAATTCTTTTTGGATGATCCCAGTTTGTCACAGTGGAACTAAGTACCTTTACTTGGCCTATTCAGTTTATTTTGATCCACTATGTCACTGCTTAGCATTAAGCTACAATTTATTATTGTTTAAAACTTCACTGTGTTCTTCAACAACAGTATTCAGTAAGTTTAAAATTGTTGCTGTTTTATGAGAAAAAAAGAGTCTAAAATTTATTTGTTTATTTATTTACTGCAGATCCAACCAATTCTGCCAACAGTGGCTAAGAACTGTCAAGCTGGATCTGAAGAAGTAAATTCCCTTTAGAAATCTGACAGAACTCTCATCTACATCCTTCCACTTCCTCCCGTTGATAACACCAGGCCAAAATGAATATGTGCACCATTCATATTCAGTGTCACCTTTTTAAATTTAAAGCCTTCTAAGGGCCTAAGCCTTCTAGGGTTGTTTGTGTGGTTCGGTTCTTGTCTTAAGTTGTATTACTAACTTTTTTTCAATACCATGGGTTATTAACAGCAACTTGCAAAGTGTAGTATCTCCTACTGATTAGCTAGCAACTGCTACTCAATCAACAAAGACTACTGTTTTGTTTGTGGGTACTTTTTAATTGAAGTTTAACTATCTTCTGGATGTTAGGTACCTGTTTTTCTACCCTTTCTTTAGAAGCCAGTCTGCATAATTTTCATATGGATCAGAGGCTTCTTGAAGATCCATGATCATTTGTATATTAAAATAAAGTTGTATGCCCCATCTTATAAAACAATCTGTGAGACACAGATGTAAATGAATTGATGTACTATTGTATGAACATCTTGCCTATGATTTGCATGGCACAAGAACCTAATAAAATACACAATCTTTTGTTCTCTTTCCAGTCACCCCCTTACTCTTTTTGCAGATTAGATAGTTTGCTTTTTATATATAATACCACTGTTATACTATCACCCTTTTAGGAAAAGGGTGAAAATCCAATAGGCATTTCCTTCATACGTCTAAGTTTAATATTGATGTAAATTCTCTTTACCTTGAGATACAGTGTTTTTTTCAAACCTCAACTATTTTATTTTGCTATACATCATTTGGTGATTTTTTCCTTGGCAAGGATTGTTTCATTTCCATGCTCAGTACATCACATGCCATAAGTTCATGATGGTTTAATGTTATAACAGTATTAACAACTGTAGCCCAGAACATTTGCCTCAGTTGGAGTCCTTAGAACACCACCACTAATTTCCATGCTGCCACAATAAGCTATATTTAAAGAATTTATTATGTTTCTACACCTAGAGACAGCTTTTGAAAAGTTACATTGCCATAAACTACAAATCGAGGAACATCATTTATAAATACATAAAGTACTTTTGAAGTGTCCCTATGCCCATAGGAGGGAATCCGAGAATACTGATAGCTCTTAAAGTACTTTTGTAGTTCAGACATACCATATTGGTTACAGATGCATGAATCCTTTCCAAATAAATGTCATTTCTTTGTTATACTGCATAAACAGTGAATGCCTTCAGTGATCAAGGCAGGATGAAAGCTTTTAAAGCTGCATTGAATAGCAATTTCTTAAATTTTTAATTCATCTTTTTTTTTGTTTATATATGATAGTAACAATCAAAACGTTTGCAACTGCATCCCTGAAAAGGAATGCTTTAAATAAACATACCTAAGACTAAATAAGCATGTTTCATAGATACAATCTAAAGTTTCATTGGCATTCTGATTTTCATCTTGTTTTAGAGTTGATGCCCTAGGGTTAACTATTCTGACTATTCTCCTAAAGAGTAAGTTGCGAATCAATTTTAGAGACTATTTTTAGTTCTCTATTTTAAGTAAGTTTCCCTTTATGCATTTATCTATATACTGTATTTTGACTTGAATTAGCTACCTGCATAATTCCAAAGGGGCAATGTTGCACACTATTATAGATGTTTGCAATTAAACTGAGATAAATTGTAAAGTTTAGCTAAGGCTAGAATTAAATAGTACTGATTTTTTGAAGTTCTGCTTTATAAATTCCCAACACATAGGATTATCTATCTAATGATTTTGAGTTCCAACTTGAGTCCTATTGCAGGAAAAAATTTTAACAATGCTTATTTAAGTCACATAAAATAGAATCTTCCCAATATTAATCAAAGCAAAGATCAACATTGTAAATACATCCTGTGAGAATAAAATAAACCACAATGGGTAAGAACTGTTTCGATTCTTTATAACTATTGAAAACATGGGGAAAAAAACAATTTTGCTGAAAATGATGGGAAAGTAAGCTTTATTCAAAATATTTATTTTTTTAAAAAAGCAATAGCTATTTTAAAATATGCCAGTTTCTCCTTTTTTAGCACCTTTTCACATTATTAAAAACAAATAGGAAATATTTAATCTGAAACATTTTTCCACTATATTCAAACACCTCCATTAATGGCAGGATACTTCTCCCCTCCTTTATGGAATTATTTCTAGTTATACTTGATTTACTCTGAAAGCAAATAATAAGCAAGAATATAATAAACATAATGGCTACAGTATAGTCATTACGGAGAGAGAAACTAAGGGAATTGCAGCAGCTTGAATAGCTGGGAGAATGAAGAGGCTGATCTTGAAAAGCTTCCCATCCTTTCAGCTCTGCTATTGCACTTACTCCTTGAACACATGTTAGCTGGCCTGCCTGGCACAAGAGATGCTTTCAAGACAATTCCCCTGTTAAACAAAATTGAACGAGCAAGCCAGCGGTTCCTGGGGAAGGAAACTGTGCTTCTTATAAAATACCCATTTCAGTGAACACAGGTGGTCAGTTTCCACAAGATATTTGCGAAAAAATCCTGCAAAGTGATTCTACTTCATCACTAAATGACAATTTTTTTGTGCCCAATGCTACAAATCTTGACCTCTTCTCTAGCATTATTAAGAGGACTGCTTATATGCCTCATCAGTGTGTCTCATCAGTGAGATGAAAAAAACATTGCACATGCTCAAAGGCAACTTTCCCATCTATCTTGATTTATATTATCCCCTGAGGAGAAAAATATTGAGCAAGAGAGCCATAAACATATATAGACACAAATCAAAAAGTTGCCCATGAAACAGTCAGTTATGAAGGAAAATGGGAAAGTTGGATTTGCTTTTGAAACATCCCTTACTATTTGTTGGTGTGGAAATGTGTTTGAGTGTCTAAATGTCATAGGTATAGCTTTTTTTACAAACACTTAATATCCAGCTTAAGTGAAAAATCTGTTTTCATATACAATAAATTCCTTAAGTAAGTTGTAAAAATATTTATCCCCACTTCATTGTCACAGTTACCATTCAGAAATATTTAATTAAAAATGAAAACGTAAAATAGAATGGCTCTCACAGGGTCCCTGTTTTAAATGAGGCTCCTTTTATTCTTTATTTCTGTAAATAATTATAATAATTATTATAATAAAAAGCCACTATTCTAAGCAGGTACAGTATTTTTTCATTGGTTCTTAGCATCTGGTATCCAAACCTTAAGTTGCCCAGCAGCCTATATGCTATTCTTAAATAAAAATAAAGGATTTACTTTTTTCAAATGATTTTAAACTCATCAATTCACAGACCAGCTTTCTGTTCCTGAAACATGGCTGCCCAAAGTAGGGGGAGAAATAAAATATTGAGAAGGGCATCCAAATGTCATAATACAAACTATACTCCTGCACGCATATAATATGACATCTCTCTCACATACAAAAGTTTGTGTTGTGCTGGTTATTTTCCGATTGTGATGAACTCAGATTCTGAGCATATCTGAGTTCCAAAATCTGGATGATATCTTTCTGCCGTATCAGGTTTTATACAATGTGCATTATTGTTTCCCATTTGTATTCTTATTACATAGGGCAATTACTCTTTTGGCCACATTTATTTTATGCTCAAACATTATTTCATCTGGGGAAATGTAATCCTGCATTACAACCTTCTCATTCTGATTATTCTTCTCTCAGAGATATAAAGATCTGAACACCACACCTTCTGCATATTTTTAATTACAAGGGTTTTTTTAATCAATCAATAGTAATTACACAATACTTTGGCCATTTTTATGCAGTATTGTATAAAGTATCTAATTACCAAAACATTTCAACATCCTTAAATTGTTTGCCACCCCAAAGCATTCATTTATTATTTTATTTATTAAATTTATTTGCCACCCATAAATTTAATAAAATAAATATATCTACACTGGTGCTTTAAAGTTTGTGAACCTTTTCAATATTTATACATAAATATGACCTAAACCATGATCTATTCTTCACGTTTATCTAGTTTTAACTAGATAAAGAGAAACCAATTAAATGAGTCAAAACATTATGCAGAAATATTGAATCTTCAAAGGGATTCACCAGCTTTTAAGCACTGCTGTAAATATTTCTGTCATGAAGCTGGCACTTATAAATATGAAAGTTCAATGATGCTGCTTTCAATGGTTTTGGGAAAAGGCTGTCTATGACAATGGATAGCATCATGGCTTAAAAAAGAAAAAGTCCCTGGATAGTAGTGGAATGGAAAATCTGGTCTCAACAGGCTCTGAAAAGTAATGGAAGGACATATCAGAGAAAGAAACAGACAAAACAGGATAGGAAGAGCATGATGAAAAGATACAACAAAATACTTGTTTTGCTATTATTATTGGAGAGAAAAAATGCTGATATACTAAGTCTCTAAAGAGATGTGAAGAAGCTGTACAGCTTACTTAGAGCTTATAGCTTCCAAAATGAGATTTTCCTTCCAAGAGATGAACCATCATTTTCTCTGGGTAGGACAAAGGTAAACTGGGATTTCTTACAAAGCTCCTTTTTGTATTTCTCCACATCTCTTTAGTGGGCCGCTGTCCTGCCTTCCAACCCTTCTGCTGTGATTCAGCAGTTGCGTTTTGCTCTCCTGAGAGGCTTTTTTTTTGAGACTATTCATGACAGGTACTTGTGACCGTCCCATACCTGTTCTCCCACCACCCTCCATCCCTACCCCCATTCCCACACTTGAGAGATTCACCATTAGTCTTGTTGTTCATTCATCTCCATATCAGATACCAGGATGTTCTTCTCAGCAGATTCACTAGGACTAGCGTTGGTGCGGCTATAGCGAGCACTCTCAAATGTCCCTCGTTCTGAAATCCACCGTCGCTTATACAGATAGAGGGCCACAGCTACCAGTGCACAGAGTGCTAGAGAGGAAAGGATGACTACAACAATGGTTTTTGTGTTTTCCAGGAAAGCTGCAGTAAAAGGGGAAAGGTTAAGAGGAAAGATCCATTTTTGTAGCTAAACAGTATTCAAAGAAGAGTGAGCAAAATAACTTTGTGTGTAAAAATGACAAATAACAACAACTTGATGAACACTAAGTGATGAATCACTGAACTTGGGAGATTCCAACCCATTCAGAAACGGTGTATATTTCATCTAAATACATTGTGTATTCATAGATTTGGTCAAACTATTCAAAATAGCCATAATCTGCAATTTTATATAGATGTGCTAAATTCAATTTGTATTTCTACTCTTTCTTTCAAAGAATAATAGATAAAATTTAAGGGACTTTCTATTCAATAGTAAATAATGCTCTATAAACTTTATACATACAAGGCATCATGGTCAGACTACAAACCCCATGGCAGTAACCATGCAAAATTACAAACCACATGTCTCTCACTGCCCCCACCCTACCCCAAAAAATCTGGAAAGATACCAAAACATCATCTTTGCTAAAGTCAGTGGATTCTTCAGTCCTATTCAAAATTACTAATTCTGATTATACTTCTCAAGTCATTGCTTCTTTCACATCTGAGTCAGAGATGAGTCAGGGTGAAGAATTAAAGATCTATTCCTGACATGCTGTCTGCTTTTGTTACGCTTACCTAATGTAATTCAAGTAGGGGAATTCATTAAGTTGAACAACCTGCTTCAAATACCTGCCATACAGAATATATTTATTTTTAATTAGTTTGTTTTACCTTCTGTTTTTTATTCAATTTGAGGACTCATAGGCAAGGTCTTGTGTTTACCGCATAATTAGGTCTTGTGTTTACCGCATAATTAGATCAACTCTCACCTTTCAACAATTGTATTAAAAGGAGTGTTGGGTTAGGCAACTGAACTATGTGATAAAAAGGCTAAACATACCTGATTTGGAGATGGAGGTTCCTTTCACTGCCATAGAAAATACAAAGAAATAAATAATGTCAGCTTCCTGTCCCAATATCAGGTAGGTATTGACCTACTTCTCCAATGCTGTTCAAGCTATCCCATAATGACTCATATTCTGCTACAGCATCACCTGAGTTGTGATCAAATATGCCTTGACTTCAAACAATATATCTCCAATTTAGCGACATATCACAAGGAGGAATTTTACATCTAGTTGAGCCGCTAATTTTTGTCCTCCATCATAATATTAAACAAACTAGAATAATACTTTAATTAATCCAACTTAGAAAAATGTGAACATACGCAAACCTTTCTGGGTACCTACACTGCTTAGTCAAGCAGAATAGAAAAGATTATATGCAATCCACTCATTATCTTCCCTTCATCTAGAAAGGGTTTCTCTTTTAACTCTTTCTCATTAAAGGAAAAATTTCATTGACTTTTTGAAAAGCGTTTGGTCTATTTAAGATTGGAATGTGAAATGAGATAAAGAATTTTATTACAACAAAAACTCCGAAAAGTGGAATATTAAAACATTACAGTAAAGGGATATGTGAAAATATTACCTTGGGACTGATTGGTAGCTTTGAAAAGGAGCAAATTAAATAGAATCGGGGGAAAAGACTTATAGACATTGACTGTTAAAATTAAATATAAAAGATGCTGGTTGAAATAAACTACTGGATAATCGGACTGGATATAAATATTAAAGAAGAAAAAGAAGTGCACAAAATGAGTGGAATATATAAAAATAAGTTCGGAACTGCAAAGCGTGAAGGAAATTATGAAAGAAAGCTCAGAAATATGAACCATATTGCTCACTAAAGAGATGTTTTTTAAAAAATATAAAAATAAAAAATGTATTGCAAAAAAAAAAAGAATTCCATAAATCTGCAAAATATTGCAGCTTCTTTCAATTTCTGTTGGTCCAATCAAAGGCCCAAGTCTAACTCAGGGTTAACACAAACCAAAGACAGTTTACGGGAAAATAAAGAACTTTGCAACCCAAATAATTCCTATCTAAACCAATCAGCCTACTGGTTGAAATTCTCCCTGACTCATCAAATTCATCTGCAGATCTTCATTAAAATATTTGCTTTTTCCCCATAAAAACATGTTCAAACCATGAAATGGTATCTGTTATAATTTGCCCTTGCCTTAGAATAGATGAATGGGTAAGAACTTAGGATGGCATGCTTTTATATGGTATGGAAGAAGTACTGTACATAGTTATTTTCAAAGAGATTATGTGAGGAACGCTTTACTTTTGGTATGGGAAAAAATCAAAATACAAAAGTATAGAAAAATACCAGTTTGGCTTTCTATAATGTAAGCATTGATACATCCAAATCTTATTAACCTGGAAAAAATTGTGTTTTATAAAGATATTTTAAATGAGAATGGTGAACTTAAAATTAGACCGGAATTACAAATTCAAAGGGTGAACTTAGCTTGGTGGCCACACTTGCAAATATACTCAAGATATGAGAAAGATGCGAAAACATGGGGTTTTTATAAAGAACCAACAGTACTTGATAAGATGTTATTAGGGACAGATGAAAAATTGATTTAAAATATATAATTATTTATTAATCTTAAAAATGGAAGATGAACAAGTTAAATAAACAATGATAGCATGGACAAAAATGTTTGGCTATACTATAGAATTAGATAAATGGCAAAAACGTTGGGATAGGAATTATAAACTGACAATGGCTACTGCATATAAGGGAAATCTTTATAAAATGTTTTATAGGTGGCATTTGCCACCAGCAAGACTAGCAAAAATGTTTAACAATATGTCTGCCAAATGTTGGAAGTGTAATCAAACCCCAGGTTACTTATTATCATACGTGGTAGACATGTATGAAAGCAAGAAAATACTGGACGAAAATACACACATGGTTGGAAAAGATGATTAAGCAGCATATAGATTTGAAACCAGAAATATTTTTGTAAGGTATAATACCAGAAAGCTATGATAAAAGGATATATATTTAATGTTACATGTACTGACTGCAGCGAGAATTGTATTTGCACAATATTGGAAAAATGAGAACACTCCATCAGAGGAAAATATAAAAAATTGGAAAATATTGGATTGTGCAGAGATGGATAGATTGACAATGAAAATAAAAGATAAAGGAGAGTATTACTTAATGTGGAATAGGTTTTATCAATGGTTAGAGGTAAGAGGTAGAAATTAGATGAAGGAAGAACATTGTTATGTATAAGTTAAACATGAACATTGTTTATAAAAATAAATATGCTAATATAATCAATAGGATTACCAATAAGCTAATATAATGATAAATATGGTTAGAATCATTCTGTTGTACTACTACTATTGCTATCAGTATATATGTTACTATTTCTTTTTTTCTTTTCTTTCATAAAATGGTATGCCCGGACAATACATTATATTATATTATATTAATAAAAAAAACTTGGACTTTAAAAAAAACACCTTGCAGCTCCTGTTTGCATTCTCCAGTACTGTAGTTCAATTTAGGGCCATCAAAAACCTACCCTGATTTTATCTGCACAAACTTGATTTGTTTCCTTACCTCGAGTTGTCTTACAGATGACTCCCATGGTTACATTTGAACAAGAGCCCAATCGCCAGACGCCATTGCTGCTCTGGATCCAATAGCAGCTATTTGGGCTGATCATGCTTGGTCCTGTATCATGTTGTCCCCAGTTAGAATAGTTTACAGCTGTGTTGTCATGCCAAACAAGTGTGCCCCCTGTGCAGAAGGGAGAAACATGCTTTGTGTGGTTAGTAAAAGAGCTATTCTAGATTACATGAGAATCTCCTCAGATCATCAAATGTTGCAAAGCAGCAAAAAGCTAGTCATTAAAGCATTTGATTAGGATTGAGGGTGGGGGAAACAGATTTGAGTCCACCAGCCACACCCAGACTCTTTTTGTCAGCCCAACCAAGTTTACAGGTTTATTTTTGTGGGGAAAAAAGTGAAGAGAGATCTCATGTAAACCACCTATGGAGAAAGAATAGGATATAAAGCTAATAAGTACATTGTCAACGTATGCTTTCAGAAAATGACTCTCTAGCATAGCACATTGCTGCAAATCAATTTCAAAGTTACCAAAGTTGTCTAAGTGCTGAACAGTAATACAGTCCCTCAATTCTGTTTGATTTACCTTTGGGATTAAAGGACATCCCCAGCCATACTCCTTTGGCTTGGCTCTCATAAACTTGTAGATGTTGCCAAATAAATATATTCTCCATTTCATCTTCAATGGACAGCACCATACCTCCAACTGTGGAGAATAGAAGAGATGCAACAGCCTAAAAAATTAAAGAAGAGTTTACACTTGCCTATGAGAGAGAAGCTTTGCCATAGTTCAGAGGCCCTTAAATTATACAATTCTGTTGAACATTCTCCTCATATGAAGGATATTCACCAGAATAAATATGCAATAATTTTTACATTTTAAAAAAATTCTAAAATATATTGCATATTCATTCTGGTGAATAACGGCATTTGATAAATTTGATGCAATCTTCTTGTAAGACTGAAGTTTACAAGAAACACAACTTCACATATATGTGCTGGGAGTGTCAAAATCTACGAAATGGCAGCATTATAATGTTCTACCTCTTTTATCTAAGTGTTTGACATCACAGCAGATACAAAGAGAAGGGATTTTAGTCAAGATGACACACTCACCCTCCTGCAGATTTTGATTTTTTTTTTAAATGTCAAACTTATATGCCATTTATCTCATCAAAGCTGACTCTAAGTAGTGTACAAACATTCAAATAAAAATTTAAAAAATAGAGACCATAAATTTTAAATACAGTTAAATTGGTCAAGATGGAAAGGAAGGGAGCAACTGAGACTTATTGGGGTCCAGGGCAGTTGGCACTGGCAGGTCTTCAAGCTCTTTCAGAAGGCTAAAAGGATGAGTACTGATCTCACCTGCAGGAAACAGCATTCCATTAAAATGGCCCTTGTCCAGGACCCTGCCAGCTGGAATTCCCTAACTGCAGGGTCTATTGTATTATTCTTCTGACAGCATGGATGGATGATTCCTCAATTTTCACCACCACCCCATACCACCAAGCAACTGCATATATGCCATTTGTTCGTTCGTTCATTCGTTCGTTCATTCATTCATTCATTCATTCATTCATTCATTCATTCATTCATTCATTCATATTCCACCTTTATTATTTTTTACAAATAATTCAAGATGGCAGACATACTTTCCTCCTTCCATATTCCCCACAACAACCACCCTGTGAGGTGGATTGGGCTGAGAGAGTTCGACTGGCTCAAAGTCATCCAGCTGTCTTTCTTGGCTAATACAGGACTAGAATTCACAGTTTTCCACTTTCTAGTTGGAAGCCACATGGAATCACTTGGAAACGAGATGGTCGGCAAACAAATTTAATTAATAAATGCATAATGACTTAGCTGTAATCCTTAAAAAGAAATCTTGTTGCCAATTTGACATAATGGAATTGATTGGAGGCCCACACTGTGCTTCCAAACATCTTCCTCTTTGACCTGGACTGAATCAGAGATTTCCTGATTTGCTTCAAGCTGCGCAATTGTAAGAAACAGATGCAAGAGCCAAGTTCCCTTATAGCCTTAGATTTTTAAATTTTATTCTAATGCAGGTTGACATTGTTGGATTATTCATGCATTCTGCTCTGCATTAAAACAGGGACAAAATAGGAATAAAAAGATTTCTCAGTTTCTTTTCTATTATCACTTTGAATTTCTCTTATCTTCCTTTCTATGTTTCTTGCTGCTGCTTGTCAACAAAATACAATTTCGGGATGCAGGTTTAACTCTTCATCTCATGCAGATAAACAGTTAAAAAAGAATTGTTGGATAAGAGATGGGCAGCAAATAACTTTCCTAAATAAAATAAATAAATAAATAAAGCTAGAGTCAGATGTAGAGCTGAGCTTTTATGAAAGATACTGGTGCTGAACGCCCTGTTTTTACCTTAACTTGCTCTTTTTAGTTATTATCAACTGCTTATCTGCTTATCTTCCCTTGTAAAGCAACTGAGAAATGCAAACTGTCCAAGAAAGGTGCTTTCTCAAGAAGCAAAAGGAGTCCGAACTCGCATGAAAAGGACAAAGACAAATAATCAGCAGTCCTCCAGCTGAAAAGAGGAAGAGGAGGACAAACTGCTGCCTATGGCCTCCGAGATATCCTATCACCCTGAAGAGATCTTTAACAATACTGAGCCTTTATTACATAAATTTATTTAGGATCTGAAACTGGAGTGGGAGAAATCCTTTATTTCAGTAAAAGAAGATTTAGCAGGTATGTAATATTTGAAGAGAATGAATAAACAGGCTAAAGTTTTACCAAAGAAGATATAAGACATTGCTCAGACGAGTACAGGTAGTCCTCAACTAACAACATTTCATTTAGTTCATTTAGTGTCCGTCTGAAGTTACAACAGCACTAAAAAAGTGACATGACCATTTTTCGCACTTACAACCGTTACAGCTTTCCCATGGTCAGATGATCAAAATTCAGATGTAGCAGTGACCTGTAGCATTTCTGACAAAGTCAATAAGGAAGCCAAATTCATTTAACAACTATGTTACTAACTTAACCACTGCAGTGATTCACTTAACAACTGTGGCACGGGTCGTAAAATGGAGCATTTAACAACTGTTTCACTTAGCAACAGAAATTTTGGGCTCAATTGTGGTCATAAATTGAGAACTACCAAGTTCTCAGGCCAATATTTTAAGTACTAAAACCTGTAGCATAAAAAATAATTAAGAAAGACGTTATGGATCTTAAAATGCCTCTGGCCTGAAGGAGGAACTGGATTACATCCCAAGGTTCAGAAGGAATTTTCAGACATAATCTCAGAATTGCTAAACCATATATTTCAAAGATCCTAAAGCACTGCAGACTACCAGATGACATCCCCCCACTCCCCCCAAAAAATATGGATCCAGGAAACTACAGATCTATCATCCTGACATGATGAACTGGGAAGATTCTGGAAAAGATAAGCATACAACAAATCTGCAAGCACCTAGAAGCCAACAAATATTTGTCAAAAACAGATCATGCCAGACCAATCTTATTGCATTTTTTTACAATGTCACACAATTAGTGGAACAACTAAATTTGTAGATATAATTTACTTTGACTTCAATCAGGCATTTAATAAAGTAGACCACAACCTACTATTTTATAAGATAGAAAAATGTGGGTTAGAGTGCTACAGGGCTAAAATGAGTCTGTCTAAAATGTGACAGTAGAAATAATTAAGTAACACATTTGGCGGCCTCTATTCAGCATAAAAAAACATTTAAGTATCCATGCAGGAATTACATCTGGAAATTTACATTAGTGGCATCAAGTTCCAATAAGAACCTCAGGCATAGCTTCTCAATATTCACTGAGAAGTTGGGAAGGCATAGGAAGATATAGATGAGGCTGAGGAGCTGGCAGTCAAATGAATATTCGTTTATCTTTGGTGAGAATGCAATAAAATATTGGAATTTTGGAAGTATATTCTTAAAAAAAATGTTTGACACAAAATAATTATAACCAAATATGCTAGATATCTTTGATGGGCAAAATAAGAAATAGAAAAAAGAATAAGAAATAGTATACATGTCATATCAAAGATGAAAGAATGTCACCTAACCTTTATATTAAAAAAAAGGCAGAGTAAAAAAAAGGGGATAGCTCCTCATCCTCATCTATACCTTTCTACTTATTTGGGGTCATGGATTCATAAAAAGAAAATGCCACTGGATTTGGACCTCCAATGCTTTAATTATAAGCAACGCTTCCAACAAGTAATAACCAAAACAAACATAGACAAAAATCCTTAATTATAACAGGATTCACCTTTCTGGCATTTCTTCACAGCTTCTTTCTGACCTAGAATAACTTCCATGTGGAAAGCATAGCAATGGTTTTGGAAAGGAACCCAGGAGGAATCTTCTATTGTTTTAGGACAACTTCCATTGTAGCTCCACTTGTGTGAAGAAAGGGGTCCTGAAGCAGAATACTTGGTTAAAAGAAGCTTAGCAAATATTTACATTGGTTTTGTCATTAAAAACAAATGATAAAATGGTTTTTTTCCCTGACCCCGTCATTAAAACTCAGGGGATGAGAGAAGAGAGTCCTTATTTCAGTATTCCCTCCTTTATATGTATAGCTGTCATACAGGTAAATTACCTGTGTTCAACTTGCAGATGGCCCCTTGAAGCTTTGTATTGCAAGTGGCAGTTCGCCATGTTCCATCTATGTCCATGTATGCACACCCTACAATTTGTTGCGGTTCTCCATCTTGCCAGTTTGTGTAGGAGACGCTCTCATCTGTAAACCATTCATAGTTACGTCTCCCCTAAAAAAAGTCAAAATATATAAAGTTTTGCCACATTCGACTAATCAATCTGGATACAAAATATTTGATACATTTATATAGTTGACTCACCTCTTCATTGGACAAGCCAATCCAGAGTGGAGTATGTAAGCTGTTGACAGCCTGAGTGAGGAAGGCCTGGGTGAATGGTTCCATTACATTTGCTAGACTTCCATTGAGACTCTCACATAATAACACAGCTTCGTGCCATTTGAGCGGCTTCATCAAGACACGGTAAGTGTTGTTAAGATATGAAAAAGTAGAGTTGAGAACAGAAGAGAAGGATGTTGAAGAAGGATTTATAGTAGGGTCTTGAAAGTGGAGGAAGAATTTGAGAGAAAGAAAATAAAAGCTTGGTTACCTTTTACAAATATACCCTAGAGCTATTAACAAAGCAATATTTATTTTATTCAAAATTAGTAGCAATTTGCTGACTATCAAGTAATTTCTTAGTGTTTTATTCCATTTTACTAAAATTGGTTATTTTTGTGTTACTTTATTATAATTTCTGTGAAATAGAACTTTAGTTCTTTCTGGAAGTCACTTTAAAAGGATGGTGGAGAGCCAAGATATATTTATAGATACTATTATACCTTGTCATTTAAAACAATTGTATTTAATTCTTAAGTTAGGAAACCTCACTCCTCCTCTATGTAGTTTAACCAGAATAAGGCAAATGATAAAGGAGAGAAGAATGTTAACCTCTACTTCTGACCCTTATTAAAGACTGTTTTCTCATTGTTAATAAAAAATGAGGAAGGATATATTTGGTCCCTATCTTATTTAATTAGTTGGAGTAATGAAAAGTAGATAGAACTCGTGCATTAGATACATTTTGTAGAGAGAAACCAAAGAGAGAAACACACTGAATAAATGCTCACAAAAGCAGCATTTTCAAAACTAATGGGTTTTAGCAATATACAGTTTATGAGTCTGGAAGCATTTTTAAGACTAATCAATATTATTGGGTATATTCTATGATGAGAAGCAGCAGGTTTCATGAACATGCATGTAAATGATGAACAAAGTTACCGTCCAAAAAAAATCATATGCCTCAAGTTGGCCAGTCTTGAAGATGTATCTGTGTTGTATCTGTGTTGTTGCCACAGACTAATATAATTCTTCCTCCCTTGTGCACAATAGAAATGAATGCCAACATCCTTGGCACAAGAAATAAAAATTATCACAAACCCTCTATGCTAAGCATAACTGAAGCCAATGTTATTTTCTTGCATTATTCCTAACTCTTACCTTTGCTTCTCTGGCATATAAAAATATGTTTCTCCTCTTGGCAATTCCTATCATCCCAACGGCCTGTAAACAGGGAAGGGAGGCCATGCCACATTACAGCACAGTTGGTCTATGAGAAACAGAACCAGGAAAATCAAACTCAAAATGGATTGAATATGTGCACACTGAGCTGTCCAATTCTTGTCATGATTACTGCAACATGACACATATGAAACTGCTCTTGGAAAATTTTACAAATTTATAGGCAAAGCAGAATAGACAATGGGCTCCAGAGAAACACAAAAACAAGCAACAGACTGAATACTAAACCAAGTTGTGGTTTTCACATAACTTGTTATACCTGAACAATAATCTTATTGTGGAACAAATAAGCATGATAGCTTAGTACACACAATATGCTGACACAGTAACCTCATTCCTGCAACATATCAAACCACAAACTATCCTATTCATTTTTAATTCATGCTACACAAACCCAACCAAACTGCTATGTCATCTTTGGAACTCATTACCAGTAGTCCTCGACTTAAACCCACAATTTGGCCAGGAATTTTGGTTGCAAGTCATTGTGGTAGTTAAGTAAGGTGTACATATGAGACCACTTAATTCAACAACTGCAGTCCCAGCAGTCTGAGTTCTGGATGTTAAGTAATCACACAGATCATTAAGCAGACAAAGAGAAGTAATAGAATAACAGTTGGAAGGAGACTTGGAAGTTTTCAAGTCCAACCCACTGCTCAAAAAGGAAACTTTATACAATTTCAGATAAATGGTTGTCCAATTTCTTCTTAAAAAGCAAGAGCTGCCTGCCAAAAGAGAACAAAAGAAAATTCCTGCACTGAGTTTTACAAACTCAGATCCCAAGGTTTTTTTTTCCAGCCCACTACAGGCCTTCCGCTCTTTTCCATGTGCAGAAGGGAACTGTTACACTGGGTTGAAAAAAAGGAAGCTCGTATCTCTGTTGGATCTTCTTTGAAGAGCCTTTCTACTCTTCAGAAACTTTGCATTTATTGGTTTTTCAGGAAGAAAGCTAGCAAGTACAATCTTTCTTACAGTATAAAAGCTGGAAAAAGCATATCTACCCTTTAGAAAGATTACATTTGCTAGATTTCTGGCTGGAAAGGTTGGGAAGAACCTCAGATCTTTGGATATGAGCTTCTTTTCTCCAGCCCAGCGCCACAGTTCTCCTCTGCATGGTGTGCAGGAGAAACTCTGGCATTGGCTTGGAGAAAAGTTTACATCCCAAAGATCTTCGTTTCTCCATCCTTCCCTGCAGGAGTCTCCCATACACACCCTGCCCCTGCAAAGTGGGGAGAGGAAATCCTTCCACAAGCAGCAGCAGCTTTCTCTGTCGATTTCCACATTGAACTTCTGGTGAAATGAGCAGAGAAAGCTGCAAATGGCAATCATATAATTATAGGATTCTTGACCACCAGTCATAAGTACAAACAGGATGCCAAATGCCTAAAATATGATCACATGATCTTGAGGATAATGGGAGAATCAGAACTTCAAGGACAGATTGGAAACAATTTTTTCCTGAGTCTCTCATAACTTTGAACACTTATTAAATAGCCAATGGTAGGTTGAAAGTGACCTGTGTTGCAAGATGTGCTGGTAGCATCTTTGAAAAACAGGTGGCTGATTAAACTGTAAGTAACAAAATGTTGCCCTAGACACTAGTTTTAACTCTAATTGCAAGTTTTAATATTTTTAAGAGCTCATCTAAAACAAAAAAAAACCCCACATTTATTATATACTTATTTAGAGGGAAGAGAAAAATATTCTCTGAAAATCATGCCAAATGCTTGAAGAGAAATGAAGTATTGTTTATGAAAACACACAAAAGGCCACTTTAATGATTGACCAACTTCAAAAATTCAGAATTCAAAGCCGCATCCTAGAGATACACAAGGCACAGCCTTTTCTTCTACAGTTTTTGGCAGGAACGCCTGAACAGAAATTGTAATCCCGTTTGACCGAATATGTTTCGTGTACTTTACTTAATCCGGAGCCTTAATGATGCTATTAGCAGCAGAGGTTCAGCTCACCGGCTGATCACTAGTAATGGATGTTCCATATCCAGATGGTTCTCCAGGGGCCCAGTTCACATACTTGACAGTCTCAGATTCTACCCAGAGAAATTCCTTCTTGGAATCATGGAGGCCAATCCATATATCAAAGGTTACATTTGGGAGAAGAGTTGTTATAAAAGCTGCAAGGAAGAAACAAAGGAATTGAAAGTACTTGGCATACGATTCAAGAAAGTGGATATGTTTTTTCTAAATTGAGCTAGGAACTCTAAAGTTGAATCCCATTATTCCCTCTATTAGTGTTTTTCCAGTATAAAATTTGCTGTCCTCCCCTGGCTTTGTTACCTCTGTTTCAGTGCAGTCTTTGATCAACATCCAAGGTAAAGGAGAATTAAAGGCTAACAGATTTTATACATCATGAGCTTCCATTGGATGGTGTCAGAATACTATGTTAACGCTGGTACTGCCAAAGACATTAGCTCAGAATTTTCATATTATCTCCTCTGAGTTTATGCTTGGACCATAGCATAAAAAAGATTTATCCTGGACTGAAATGGTACTTATCCTGACACTTTTTAGTATACTGAGCAGTCTTTTAGTAACAATGATACTGCAACAATTATTCTACAATTGTCTTGTTTAGAACATATAATCTGTTAGTGTAGTTATTCAACAGCTAAAATAAATTCAGTATTTATATTTTCAGAGCCTTCTATTCTTTATTATTACATCAGATATTCCTGGAGTGAATTCCACAAAATAAATTCTGCCTTATCAGGAGCACATTTGTTCTAAGCAGAATTCAGAACAGTTTGGGGATAAGACAGATATCCATATCAAAGACTACTAACTATGATGCTGAGAGGCAAAGAAAGAAACAGATGAATCTCTGGCTATCACACAGTGATTAAAAAGATTATTTTTTTCCTTCCTGTGAACTGGAAGATTATTTATCTTACTGTTCCAGAAATTCCAGATTGAAACGGAAACCATTTTCAGAGGGATAGCTGTTACGAACAAGAAAAGCTTGCACTTTTGTTTTAGTTATAATTGAAACCTATAGCCAATCATGATATTATTTCTTTCAGCAGAGATTATGAAGGCAGCACTGTATAGTTGCAATATAAATTCTGCCCTTCTAGTATGTGCATGTAAGCTCTCAACACATGTACAAAAAAACCTTAAACTGTGAGGTCACCACATTAGTTTCACTATCTCCCCACCCTGACACTTCATTAGGTGAATTTTCTCAAGAAAAATACCATTCTCCCTTATCAAAAAATGTTTTTTCTTGAGGAACTCTCTTATCTGTTCTGGGACCAAAACTTGTCCACTTTTCAGAGGCAGAACAAACATCTGTGTACCTTTACCTTTGGATAAAACCTACCTTGCTCAAGGTGGTTGGAGATAGTAGCCAATATACCTCCCTGAATTTCACATTTTCGCTTTGCCTCCAGCCAAGTCACTTTTTCTTGATTATAGATCTTAAAGCACTATAAATGGTATTTAACAACAGAGAGAAAGAATAAAAAACAGGGTGTGGAGGAATCTTTTTGATGCATATTTGTTTTACAGAAATTTATTATTGCTCCTCTTATTACTCCTCTCTTTCTCTAAAAATGCTCAAGAGACAAAGTACGCCTTTTCTTCCTGCAACAATCTAGTGAGGTAGTGTAGACCAGCGTCCCTCAACCTTTGGGGCACCAGGGACTGGGTTCATGGATAGTTTTTCCACAGACTGGAGGGGCATGGTTTCACATGCTGCCTGCATCCCATGGGTGTGGCTTCAGTTGTTTGTGCAATCCAGTTTCTACCCCTGATGTAGACCAACTAATAATCACAGTCATCAACTGAACCATACTAGGATTTCAGTCAAAAGTCTCATCAACCATAGTTACCATTTTACTGCACTATCTCCTTGACTCATTTATTCTTATATGTTAAACATTAAGTAGGGAAAGGGGAACTCTACTCAGACTTTCTGGAAACTGCCCTGATTCCAGGAATACAGATGTTTGTGAAGAAATGGCTTCAGTATTCTCCACAAAACTTATTTTCTTCTTCTTACATATTCAGCTCAAAGAGGACACACAGACATATATTCCTCTCAAATTGCCCCCCTTAATGATTTACAATAGAGTGATCGGAATACCTTATTAATGAAGGCATGCCAGTCTTGGGCACAGCTGCCAGGAGTTGGTACAGATAGCGATGGCAAGGAGGGCTGCACAGTAGTGATGTTGGTACGCTTGCAAATATAAGGCAGAGCAGTGAGGCATTTCTGGTCACCCCAATCCTCTGCAGAAGGTGGAAAAATGATGATGAGCTTTGTTCAAGGGAAACCAGAACACAGTGGTCCTCTCAAAGAAACTACTGTACTAATAAATGGTGCCAAGACTTGGTATTAAAATTCTGGCAGACAAAAACTCAAAATATGAAACTTGGGATGTTTCCTCTCTTACCTGCTGTGTCTGAAAAGCCATGTAGGCCCACACCACTCAAATAAAATATAAATGAAAGGAACTCCATACACATTTCCATATTAATGGTTAATTGTACTCCAGTTGTTAAAAAGAGAATGGAAAGTGGGGAGATAAGAAACTATAGTGCTTTAACAGCAAGGAAATAAGAACAAAGACAGGAAAGAAGTCTACCACTACAAACATTTCTATGAACTTGGCGTATTGAACAAAGTTTCTCCATGTTGGATAAGGATACCAATTTTGACACTTGGCTAATTGGAAAAAAAGCGAGAAAAAAATATTTCAAGCTTTTTATCATGGTTTTCTTTTTAATAAAATATATTTTTTCTTCATATTTGTTGAAATTGCAGCCTTTTAAAAAACATCTCCTATCTAGAAAGAATGTGATAAAAACTGTAGTTCTACAAGAACTTCAGAAATGTTCATAGCAAAAGAGGTCACCCATGTTGAAGTTTTATATAAGTAATTCAACAGTACTTAGAGTGTGGGGAGAAAGGGAGAAGGGGAGGAATGATTGAAATGAGCTTCAGCTCTCATTATATCTACCATGGGGATGTTTTCCCCATTCGTTGAACTCATCAGTCCATGAAATCAAGGACATTAATTGGGCAAATACAGGTAATTGAGTTACAACCATAATTGATCCTAAAGCTTGTGCTGCTAAGTGAAACATTTGTTAAGAGAGTTTGCTCCATTTTAAGACTTTTCTTGCCACAGTTGTTAAATGAATCATTGCATTTGTTAAATTAGTAGCATGTTTATTAAGCGAAACTGGATTCCCCATTGATGTTCCTTGTCAGAAAGTTGCAAAAGCTGATCACACGACTCCAGGACACTGCAACTGTTATAAATATAAACCACTTGCCAAGCATCTGAATTTTGATCCTAGTTGGACAAGATGTTGCAATGGTTGTGTGAAAAATGGTCACAAGTCCCCTTTTTCAGTAGCATTGGAACTTTGAACAGTCACTAAATGAACTATTGAAAGTCAAGGATTACCTGCACTGGCAGAACCTTTAAAGTCTTAAAGATGGTTTGAAGGCTAGTATTAACTAGCTGCAATGGAAGAACCTTTCTCTGCACCTGGTAAAACTCACTTTGCCTTGAAGACTGATATTCAGTACATCTGGGAAGGAGATATCTATAGCTGAATGTGTTAGAAAGTTGTTGACCCTCCCCTCCATCATAAGTCATATAGACAACTGGTGCATTAGAAGAGATTGGACAAGATAGTATTTAATTTTCCTGAGCATCTATGCAGCCAATTTCTTGGGAGTGAAAAATAAGGAACTGAGGAATTGAGGGAAATAGAAATATTTGGAGGACTCCTGTCCACATAGGGGATGCTTCTTGCGGAATACAATTTATCTCACAGGTTCTTAACAAGGAAACTTTCTCAGCCTCCTACATATATTCCCTGGGAAAACTGGCAAAAGGCTGTTCTGTTAACTGATAGAGAAGGAACATTTGGATGGTTAATTGACTGTTGGCTTTTTAGTGTTTAATTTTTTAATCAGTTCCTTGCGAGATATGCTCCCAAACTCAATTTTACTTTATGCATTTTAAACTATTATTTATTCAGACAATTACCAGGCTTAGAAGAAAATTGAGGACATCTGTTCAATTTTGTTCTGATAAACAAACAAGTCCAGAAGACTGACTGGCAAATGAACTTAATTTCCCAATAACAATGGATGCTAAAGACTTATTTTGAATCTGCAATCAAATAAACATTTCATACCACCTTGGACTCTCCTAAACATTAGAGAACATTTCTTGCAAGATCAATTTATTATCCTTCTATCTGTTTTACCATACAGCAGGTTTCCATGCTTAGAGTTGACTGAAATAGTTAAGCCATGTTTGACTCTATTGCAAATGTTATAGGAATCTATAGTGTAAATTATGGTTCTTTAAGCAAATCTTTCATAGCACTCAGATGAATTCCTTTGTGTTGCCTATAAAGTAGCACAATTTTGCATGGCTGCATATAGAGTGCAGAAACAAATAATGATGCAAGTCAAACTGGTAACTCGTCAGTCACTCCCAGCTTCAGTATGTAATCTCTTGTTGCTTTACGTTCATGTTTGTTTATTACATTATACAATTTTGTATGAGATAACTGCTAAGGGATCTCACTACTCTTCATTACAGGAAAAATCCTTGCACAAATTCTGCTAAATTGTCTGGCCACCCATCTGGAGCTGGGCCTGCTGCCACAGTCACAATTTGGCTTCCACAAACTTCATGGGACTATTGACATGGGTTTTTGTCATGCACTAAGCACCAACTTCAGGAGAAGTATCAAAACAAAGAAAGCAAAGAAATGTTATGCCAGCGTTCCCCAACCTTTCTAGCTTTGCAGATTGGGTTGGGGGGGCAGGAGTGGGGGGGGGAGAGGGGATGATTCTGTGTGAGCAGTGGGCAAGCATGCATTTGCGTGAGTGGCAGGTACATATGCCCACCACTCGTGTAAATGGAGAACACACTTGCCTGCTGTTTGTGCAACTGGGGATGCTTGCCCACCACTTTCGTGGGCCAGTTCCAAACAGCTCAAGTTCTGGTAGTGGGCTGTGGCCTGAGGGTTGGAGATCCCTGTTTTTATGCCATATGCCAACTGGCCAAAGACACAGTAAAGGGACTCAAGAAAGAAATCAATTATCATTTGGGAATGTCTACTACTAACCTCGGCTAGCTGTCATGTACACACACTTCTTTTCTTTGTTGAGAAGCCGTGGTTTACCAGGTGCCCATGAGATGAAATTCAACAGAGAACCATCACACCACCTGGAGGAAGTAAATGGCACAGAGAGAGGCTTTCATATTTTAAGCAAAGATGAAGCTAAGAAAGAAAAACATTTCTAGACCAGTGACAGGTGTTAATGAAGAACACAGAAAACTCACCGAAACCGTCCATCGTTCTCATAGGTGTTTAATCCAATCCACCAATGTTCCTCCTGACCTCTTGAAAACTGGTCAAGGATTGTATATATTGGCATTAGAAATATCATCATGAGTAAGAGGGAGAATGAGAATAAGAGAACTAATCATTTCTCTCCAATTCAAACTACCTGTTGTGACTAAAAAATGCCATCCTGGGCCTCTTTCTTTCGTTATTCTAGCTTTCGATGAAACATGCCTCAAGTACTATTAAATAATTGTTGACATTCTAACCTTCAATCACAAGTCCACCAATTTCTCTTTTAAGTTTTTAATTCTCTATTATATTTTCAAGGATTAAAGAACATGCTTTTATATAACCTTACATACATCGCCTTGTATATTCTTGAAGAAAGGCAGAATAAAATATCAATGTAAGTTGACCTGCAAATACATACCAATCTGCCCAGATTCATCCTAAGTAAGGCTTCAATCCTCACGTAGCTTACCTATATATGAATCCATAACTGCAGACAGCAAGCTCTCTCATACCAAACCATTTTGTTTTGCCTAGCCCAGTATTTATTTAAAAAAAACTTTACCATCACCAGAGTTTGGCATTCTTCAGATGTTTTGAATTAAAACTTCTACTCAGTTCAGCTAGCTTACTCACTGGTCTGGCTAAGGTTCTCACTGAAGCTATCTAATGTGCACCTGATCTAGAAGGCTAAATTATACACTGTAATAGGATCACTTTATGGATAAGTTACCTGGCCCTTCCATTAGGAAAATGATATTAGTATTAAGATCATCCCAACAGCATGGTCTCATTAGTGCTATGTTCTTTGTAGGTACTTTTAAACATAGAATAAAAATAATTATGTACATTAATCCTTAATCCTTCACCTGAAAATTCCAGAAACTGAATCTGAGAACTTGTATATTCAAAACATATGCTCATTTACCAACTGCATTGGAATATAAAGTTCTATAACATATAAATGGAAAAATAGATTTATTTTTTAACTTAAAATAAAAAGTCAAAATCAAAATTGGCTGTGTTTGAATTAAAAGATGCATACACTCTGAACACTTAAACTTATTGGACTCCATTACATTTATATAGAAAAGGACTGCCAAATCAGCACTTCATTGAAGATGTAGTAAGGATAATGCTTCTTTAAAACATATGTTTCCCCAATATTCTCTATATACCGAGTTTGGCAAGAAAGTGGTGGATTGTATAAATAAGTGCAACAAAAGCTAAATTTTTTGGAGGATAATGTTCTTTTGAACTCTAGTACATGGAATTTGGATGATGTAAATGGTTTTTCCACGCTCTTGTTATGGCTAAGACTGATACTGCATCATTGGAAAGATAAAGGTATGCCCTCTTTTAGTCAGTAGATTGAAGACTTGATTACATTTGCTACTTATAAGCAAATTGCTTATAGATGTAGACTTGAATAGACAACTATAATGAAATATAGGATTCATTTATATGATGACTTAAAATGAGTTGTATATGTATTAGAAGTACATTGAATAATATTTGCATTAGTTAAGCAAATATGAAGCTGCAACTATTTACTATTACAATGACACACTGTTTCTTTGTTCTATTCTTTCATATATTTTTTTGTTAAAACACTTTATATGGCGTTTTTTCTCTTCTCTTTCACAATATAAGCATTTCTAAATTATCTTTGTGTTTTTTGTTTTTGTTTTGTTAATCATTAAAAAGCAATAAAAATAAATTATATAATATCCTATACAAATTTGCAAATTTAAGTTACGATATAAATAGATTCTTGTTTTTGATGTTTTCCTCCAGACCACCCACCCATCCTACCAATCACCAATATTTTATTTTTGTAATAGGCTGCTTTCCAAATGGATATGTTATCAGGGGTAGTCCATCCTCCACAGATTTTGTTTTCTAAAGAAAATCAAAACTACTTTGTCTTCTTTTTATAAATATTGTGTGTTTCTTACAACTTCCATTTTTGATTTTTCCATTAAAAAGTTGTTTTGTATGGATGGAAATATGGAAATGTCTTTTGACTGATCTTGAAACCCCTACAATCTCTAAGACAACACAATACCAATTTGACTAATTTTATTCGACATGAATTCATCACAGCATCATAGTTTAGATAATATCCTACCTTCTTCAAGTTTTGGCCCAGAAAATCCAATTCAGTTTGGCTATGAATTGATACCAACTCAGCTTGAAACCATGTGCAAATCCGTTGAGCCTGCACCCAAGTTGAATGGTGATCAAAGAACTTGTATTCAGCATCCTGAAACTTTAACCACTCATTACTCCCTGCAGACAAAGTGAGAAAATAACTGGCCTATCTTAATGTACAAAAATCAATGATGTACAAAAATCAATGTTGCAGCAAATAATCCTTGAAGGAATCATTTCTTCTACTTAGCTAGTTACTCTTTCATTATTTTGCTTTGGTTCTCCTAAGAGAAGAGTTTAAAATCCTGAATGAACAGGTTTCACCTAAACCATATCCAATTTCTGCTCATAAACTAATGTAGGTGAACATTATCCTCATTAGCATGTAATATTTATGAACACAATATCTTGACCATGAATTTCTTGTCATCCAAATATTGTTAGAGTACAACCCCCTTCATCCATCACCATTGCACATAGTGAATGGGACCGACTGGAATTTAATTCCAATTGCAGTATGTTTCTCACCCAAGATGAAATAAATGTCAAATCAAATTCTTTGAGTCTGGTCAGTAATCCACACTCAATAAAACTTATTAAATATAACCTACATAGCAGAGCTGTAATAGAGAACATACCAAGTAAAATAAATGTCATGCTGGGTCAATATACAACACAATAACTTGTTTCTGAATAAACACAACCAAAACCAAATGCATAATAGAAAATCACTTCCTGCCCCATAAGACAGAAGATTCAACAAGCTTAATTTTCTTATTGCTTTAAGAACCATCAAAGTTGCATCTCCCACAAACATTTACATTAAATGGTGTTTGTGCTGAATATAACATATTGAAGCCAGAGTATTAGATTAGTATTATACAGTAAAAATAAATGCTGTGTTCAGCTTCAGTCAATTATTTTTCTTTTTCAGTTTTTTCCAGATCACATTTGATTCCAGAAACCATAATCATGATATGCTGGGGTGTATACTCACAAAAAACCATCCCACTTTCATTTTAATCAACTTTTCCTTCTGCTGCCTCAAGCACTGATCTGTCTTTTTGATGTAGGGCCTTATTGGCTTGATTATTCCCTTCCTCCCTTGGAACTTAGGGATCTGCGCCTTCTCAGAGCAATCAATCCACAAAGCAAATGTCTTAAAACTGTTTCACACATATTAGGTCTCTGCAAGTTCACCCAACTTCTAAATATCAAATCCTTTCTAGTTTTAATTGATTAACAAAGATTCTTACCAACCACCTGCTGGAAAAATAATTCATTTTTAAGAAACATAATCTATTATTGCCAACTACAATAGTCTACTGATAATGTGGGATACTACCACATCTGTATATGTAAGTTTTGACACCCAATGTTCATAAAATTCCTAAAGCATAATATTAACTTTGTTATTTTTAATTTGCATATATCAGAACAAATACCTGTTGTGTATATAAATCAAAGAATGGACATAACTTTACAAGAAGGGGGGCAACAGAAATAGGATAAATCGACATAGGACTCGATATACTCACCTTGGATGGTTGTTTCTGGTTCTGTTACCTCAATTCCTATTGAATGAATGAATGAATGAATGAATGAATGAATGAATGAATGAATGAATGACAGATCATATCCCCATCAAGCATATCAAACTGTTTTTAAGAAAGCAGTAAAATGAATTATTTTTATTTAAAACACCCATAAAGCAAGGGAATTAATTTCCCTTTTTATTAAAAAATAGTTATGGATTCTTCTATTTTCTTCCCTGCAAAACTCAGAGCAATTAGGAATGAGCTATCCACATAAATTTGTGAGTTAGACAATAACTGCCATAATAATGCAGCAATAAAAAGAAAAGCAAGTGTAGTGGATAAAGCTATTTCTAAAAAATTTCAGGACAGTCATAACAAAAAAGTTAAGCTGGCAAATCAAATGGGGTAAAACTGTCTCAGTCAAAGTACGCAGCTATAACTATATTATTAATATGGTCTACTTAGATCTAGATTTTCAAAAGTAACTGACAGCTAGTAGGCATTTTTCACTTAACTAAAATTAGCTAATAAATCCTTTTTAAAATCTCATATTTAAAGACATACAGAAATGAAGAAATAAACAGGAAAAATTATGATAGAGATGCTTAATAGTATTTATAAGTACATAAGCATTCAATTCCCCAAACTGTGAATGGAATTAAGAATGCAAACCATGCCCAAATTTTATCTCCAATACCTTGTGCTCTGTATAATCTCATCACTTCTTTTATACTGCTCCCTCCCTACTTCCTCATTACAATCCCAGTCACCTTTGGGCAATTTGCAGATCCAGTCCAGTTTAATTTCACACTGCAGAGGCACCCACTGCAAAGATGCCAAGTCCAGGGCCACACAGTTACGGATGTCATCATTATCATGATTACTGCGGTCAAAGTTGTGATAAGAAAACTAAAGGCCAAAATCAAATGGGAAGCAGTTAGTTCCAAAGAGATTTGCTTCAGGAGAAAAACTCTCTGATCATATTTGGTTGCAAGTGCAAAAAAGTCTCAGATAGGCTGCTCTTGATCCTCTGCCAACACACTCTTATTTCCTCCTCTCCTAAGTTATGCTTAGTTTTCCAAAGGTTACAGCATTTTGGGTGAGAAAAATGAAATATTTTCTAATGTTTGTGCTTTACATTATTAAAGTAGTCTAGTTTTGAAACTACTTACCAAGTCAAAAAATAAACAAGTATATATGAAAGCTGAGCTTGCCGGGGATATCTTATCCATTATAATTAATCAAAACAGCTGATAGTGAGAATTTTTCACAGTCAGAAAAAAGAGACAGATATTCTTGCTGCAAAATCCATATTTTCCCAAACCTTTTTCAGTTTTTTTTTTCATATAAATACATATTGGCATTTAATTTGTTTGATGCATTGGAATACAAAATACAGAATAGAGAGAATGTTATTTATTATAAAATTGATAGGTTTTTCTGTTTTCAGTGTAAAATTTTTAATTAATTGGTCTCTAAGCAGACAAAATTAATGCTATATTAAACAACCTGTAACTCAATTTGTAATTTTGAAAAAGCTGATTCAATAAATAAAGTACTATAATAAATACTGTATAAATATTTACACTTTTGCGTGTATATTCCAAATATAAAATCTACTACTCACTCCAACACCATCACTCCAGCTCCAGCTTCCCTCAGCTCTAGGACTACGGCGATTCAAGCCAATCCAGAACCAATGTTGTTCATGAATGTCAGGTTCCAACTCCCTGGGTCATAGCAAAGTGGGAAAGAAAGAGATGATTGCATAGGTGAAAAAAAAATTACTTTGACAGAATTAAGAGAAGTAGTCTGAGTTTGCTGCTGATGCTGAGAAAAATTCGAGCAATTCATCTTCTTCTTTATTTCCCCTGATTACTTGCCCCAAATAAAAATATTGCCATGATTTAAATTATCTTTTTCGTGAGGTCTATTTGGGCCTTTACAAAATATATAGAAAAACTCTGGGTAAAATTACCTTATACTCAGCCAGTGCATGTATATATTCAGGAGCACAGAGAAACGCACAAATGTATATAAGCCTGTAACTCCAAAGTATACATTTTCTAATTAGTCACAAAAGTACTTAATTTATTCCTCACCCAAAAATCTTGTTGAGGGTATTGGCTACAAAATGTTCCTCCTCATAATCACTCAAGCTCAAGAGCTGTGCTTTTAATTCCTGACAGAACAAATGTGCTGTGATCCAATTTTTCTTTTCCTGAAGCTTATCATAGCTGAATACCTGTCCAAAAATTAAGGAGAAAGGGTAATTTTACTAATTTATGCCTGTTATTATCCCAGCATGACTGACTCTGGTTTTTGTTAGAAATGTATGACAGGATATACCTCACGCAAATACTGCACTGGAAAATGAAATCTATCCTGTTAAAGAAGAATGCTCCATTGGAATAATATTCCTTCTTCTGAAGACTCAACAAAGGCAGAATCTGATAAATATGCAAAAGGAGCATCATGTTTTTCTCATGACCTGCATGGTATCTGGGATAGAATAATGTGAATCTCATGTTTTATTCTACCTAAGGCCTTCAATATTGATTGCAGTTTGGGTTTTTTTCTTACTTAATCAAAACCATATTTAAAGTAATGTGCGATAGAGCTACAAATCTATACATTACACCCGTTACCTTTCTCCTCAGTTCATAGACATAAAACATTTCAATTGGTCTTTTTCTCATCTCATCTGCTAATTTATTCCCTGGTATCCTTTGCTTTTATATTCCAAGTCACAGTCTTCTATGCTTATTTTATTTTTATTTATTTTTGGTGTTATTATATACTATTATAATTTAAATGGATAGGTTACAAGCAGTACTAAAACAAGGACAACAATACAGTACATTACAATACAGTACATTACAATTACAGACACTATGCATTAATCTTTTCCCCAAACTTTCTTTAAAAAGCACTGTTTGAACTAGATTCTGGAAGGCCAAAAGTGGAAAATATTCCACAGTGAAAAAGCATTCTCTATACTTTTTGCCATTTCACCTTTCTATAACAAGGACTCCTATGTTATTTTCTCAGAGAGCATGTTCAGGACCAAGCAAAACTGCTTTGTACTTTGAAATGAATGGATAACATATGAGAGTTTGCAGAATAACAGAGTTGGAAGAGACTGGAAGAGTACAGAATAACAGAGTTGGAAGAGACTGTGGAAATATTTTAGTCCAACCCCCTGTTCAGACTGGAGACCCTATTATATTCTAGACAAATGGCTATCCAATCTCTTCTCCACCCACAACCTCTGGAGGCAAGAGGTTCCACCGATTAATTATTGTCAGGAAATTTCTCCTTAGTTTTAGGTTGGATGGCTCCTTAATAAGTTTCCGTTATTTCTTGTCCTATTCTCAGGTGCTTTGGAGTAGAAGTTGACTTCCCACTTCTCTGTAACAACCCCTCAAATCTTGGAAGACTGCTATCATGTCATTACTAGTCCTTCTTTCATTAGAGTAGATATACCCAGTTCCTGCAGTTCATCATATGTTTGCTTCCAGCCCTTTAATCATCTTTGTTGCTCTTTCCTACACTTTCAACTTTTTTTTGTATCATGGTGAACAAAACTGATGCAATCTTCGAAGCAGTATAAAGCAGTACTGTCAAATGTAATGTCCCTAAATAGCAATTCCTGTTTCCAACAAGTTGGTTGCTATATTTTACATTAATTGCAGCTTCTAAGTAGCCTTAAAAAATACCCTTTTATTACAAATATTTTCACACTATTCTGCAGAACTAGAGGATCTCTGACTTGCAAACCAATATGCTGTTACTGTCTCATACCAGCTAGGAAATGCAATCACATTCAAACTATAGCATTTATGCTGAATTATGAAACTGCTGCATTAAAATCAGTTCAAGTTAAAATCATTCTCTTTCCTTTAATCCTTTGGGTATACAGTGATGCTTAAAAGTTGGTGAACCCTTTTGAATGTTCAATATATATTTGCATAAATATGACCTGAAATGTGATAAGTTCTCCACACAAGTTCTAAAACTAGATAAAGAGAACCCAGTTAAAAAAAAATGAGTTAAAAACTTTAGACTTGTTCATATAAGAGATGACTAGGCTGAGCCTGAGGGTGGAGTCATCAGTTTGAAATCTCTATGCTCTCATAAAAAACTTAAATCCAGTCCCCTTTGAAGTCCATTGACTCTTACTTGGCATCAATTTGCCTTGACCATTAGTAGATCAGATTCTTGTGAATAGGTAGCATGTAATAAACTTGTAATACTTTTGAACTCTATTCTGGTTCCTGATTTCTTGCATCTGAGAGTTCATTTATTTACTGAGAAAAATGATCCAAAGTATATATCTGTGTATGGCAAAAGTATGTGAACCTCTAGGATTATCAGTTCATTTGAAGGTGAAGTTAGTGTCACGTTTCTTAATCAATGGGATAATAATCAGATGTCAGTGTTTGTGAGACCACAATCAGAAGAAACTAGGCAACAATGGTTTGCACAGCAGAGTTAAAAGGAGAAAGCCACTACTCTCCACAAAGAATACTGATGGTGATTTAGTTTGTGAAAAACCACATGGATAAGCCAGTAGGCTATTGGAAGAATGTCCTGTGGACAGATGAGACCAAAAAAGAACTTTTTGGCTTGAATGAAAAGTTTTATGTTTTGCAAAAGGAAAACACTATATTCCAGCATAAGAACCTTTTCCCATCTGTGAAACATGGTGATGGCAGCATCATAGTTTGGGGCTAGTTTGCTGCCTCTGGACCAGGATCACTTACCATAATTGACAGAACTATGAATTCTGAATCATATTAGATAATTCTGTAGAGGGGGTGGAAACAGAATATATGTAAACTGAAACTCAAAAGAAAATGGGTCACATAGCAAAACACAAGTTACACAACCACAGAATGATTAAAACAATCTTTAGACTAGCCAAGTCAAAGTCCTAATCTTAATCCTAGAAAAATGTGGAAGGATTTGAAGCAGGCAGTTCATCTCAGGAAGTCCACCAGCATCCCCAAGTTTAAGTTGTTTTGGCAAGAAGGAATTAGCTAAAAGTTCCTTCAAGCCAATGTGCAGGGAAGATAACAGTTATTGGAAACATGTGGTTGCAGTCACTGCTGCATAAAGAAAGCACACCAGATATTGAAAGCAAAGATTCACATTTTGCCACACCCAAATATGGAGCTTTGGATCATTTTCCTCAATAAATAAGAAGTCTAATATTTTGACTCATCTATCTAATTTTAGAACTTGTGTAGAGAACAGATGTTTTAGCTCACATTTATGCAGGAATATTGAAAATTCAAAGGTATTCTCAAACTTTTAAGCATCCCTGCAAATCACTAAGGTGGTTGGCTGCCTTCCTTTTACACAGGACTTACTTTATAGCAATATCTCAGCTTGGAGGTAGTGGTCCAACCTGAAGGACAAGAGCCAGTGAGACTGGGTGTAGGATGTGGTGAAGGAAGTTCAGGATTAACTGGTGTCCCCAGATTCTGTCTGCAGATATACTTGGCCTTGAATGTAGTGCAGTTCTTTACTTCCCACAGGCCCATGGCACTTCCTGTGGCCAAAGCAACACAGCCACCTTTGTTATAACCTAATAAGTTCATGAGAAAAAGGAAATACACAAGAGTAAAGGTTTAAATTAATATTTTCTTTCTGATTCAAAATACCATTTTACAAGATTGCTACCATTACAAAGGCTGACCTTTCTCCTTCCTCGAATCACAAAATACCATTCTGATCTTATCAAATGTGTATTCAAGCTGAAATGTTATTGTCATATTGATTGCAAACTTTTTATAAGAAGATGGCCAGAGACTATAGTTAATATCATACTGATATCTGATGAATGTTATATATAGCAGATAGTAGGGGAAATATACAATTTTGTTTTATTTTTTCATTCCAGTTGTTCCTTGTTCCTTTGACTCAATTTCCATAGTATTAACTTGAAAGAGAGATGATGCAAAACATTTACTATTACTGCTGTTGTTATCAAATTATATGCTACCCATTTCACAATTCAAGACTCTGAACAGCTTAAATATAAAAATAATTTTTATATAAATATAAAAACAGATTAAAATTGCAAAAGCTAAAATAAACTAAAAAAAGGGTTTGGAGGTAGAGGTGAAAGTGCCTTCTCTGGTAGTGCACCAACTACCAGCTTCTCCTTCAGGACTCCACGCCAGCAGCATTGCCTTGTCTGAAGGCTAAAAACGAGAGAGTAGATTTTACTTTTGTAGCAAGATATTCCAAAGGATGGGGACCGTTGCAGAAAAGGCCTTTTCCTGAATCCCAACAGTCAAAATTCCTTGGCTGATTGGATATGCAGTAGGGCCTTCTGCTAACATGACCAGGGCAAATCAATTCTATTGGGGAAAGATGTTCTGCAGATATGCGGGATTTATGCCATAAAGGACTTTAAAGGTGAGAACTACTGCCTTGAATTGCACCCAGAAGCGGAGTGAAGCCAGTGAAGTTTGCATAACAGTGGTGTTACACTTGCCACCTTAGGGGCCTCCAAAACTGTCTGTGCTGCTCCACCTGGACCAACTGTAGCTTCCAAATAAACTTCAAAAGTAGCCCCATGTACAGCGCACTGCAGTCATCCAAGCGGGAGATGACCAGGACAAGAATGACTGAACACAGTCTAACAATGCATAAAAGGGCACAACTGACACACAACACAAAGTTGTGGGGAGGCTCTCCTATCCAGAAGTGCTATCTACGCTTTGAGCAGGAGATATGGGCCTAAGAGAACCCCCAAGTTGTATAACAAGTCTGCCTAGGGGACTGCCACCCTATTCATAACTAAAGATGATAAAGCTCTGCATACCCAAGGCTTTGCATACCCCTGGCCACTCTGTCTTACAGAGGGTTCAGTTGGAGCCTGTTGTCCCTCACAAGGCTTCCACAGCCTCCAGGCACTACAAAAGAACAGTCAGAGCATCACTTGTGTCAGCAGGGATGGAGATGTAAAGCTGAGTATCATCAGTATACTGATGTCTTAATCCATGGTGTTGGGTTATCTCACCCAGCAGTTAAAAAGGAGAGAGTACCAAGCCCTGTAGCACCTCACAAAAGAACGGCTGTAGTCTCAATCTCTTCCCCCCCCTGCATTAGCATTGATTGGAACCAACTACAGAGAAAGGAACCAAATCAGTGCAATGCGTGTACCACCCAGTTCCGCAGCCAGTACAAAAGGATTCTATGGTCGATGATATCATGATAAGCATTTTTCTAAACACACTAATGTGTGCAGAGTAATATGAGGCCATAATGAAATCCTGAACATTTTTGCTCTCAGGTACAGGAATGCAGCATATTATATAACCCCCTGAAAGCCTAAGAATTTCTCCCTGTAAGAGAAGATGTTTCGTAGGGAAGATTTTGAAATAGTATAATGAGAACTATGCACAGTATTTCAAATAGAACTATATTGTAATTCAATAAGATGTTGACCCTTAAAATAATAGGTAGTATCCATTTCTTAATCATTCTTAATATGAACATTTTCATTGCTGATTCACACAAAATTAATGTTTAATAAAGCAAACCACAAGATTTTTTTCTAAAAGGCCACTGTATATTGATATACCACATCAATATAAATATGAAGTTTTTTCTTATATTTAGTACTTATAACGAAGTATATAAGAATGTATATACTTATACTCTTATGATTTGGAACATGATATATACCAGGTTGGTTGCGGTTCCAGTGAGTGTAAGTGACTTCATCTCCACTCAACCAAAGGAAAGAACCAGTTTCATTTATGTCTTGTAATGCAGTCCAGAAATATTCATCCTCCCAGCCATAGATGAGGCTGCTCACGTAGGCCTGCTCAAACCTGGTCCAGGAAAAAAGGAACAAATCCATCATTTTCTCACCTCTTCCTCCAACCCTAATCTTCTTCCAGAGCTTCTGCCATTTTGTACTATCTCTGGCAACTAAGTAGCACATACTCCTTCCAAAGGCAACCAAGAGGACAATGGATAAATACTTCGAAAGCTTTACATTGGAGCATCCAGAAGCCAATCTCACCAATACCTGAATATTTTTTTAAAATGCCACAATACAAAACTCCTCTTGGTGACTTATGGCAGGATACATACCTGTTGGTAATGGTAACCAGGGCAGAGCCAAAATCCATGCACATTTTTCGAGCTTCGTTGTATATCACATGGTCATCCCCCAGCCAATAGCATGATGGACTGTGCCATTTCCAACCCTGAGAAGAACAGAACAAGATTGTCTTCAAATTTCCATGTGTTAAATTAGTCTGCATCAACAATTACATTATTTTTTCTTTGACAGAATAAAGATTGAAAATATTCCAATATTTTTTAACTTAAGAAAATGTTAAATTACCTTCATAAAAACAGAGTGAATATTATTGTAGAAGGACACCAAAGAGATATTTTTATCTTGCTGTCTATCTGGAGTAAGGCTTCCAGATCTGGGCTGCAAAAATCTAGACAGCCATGAGATGAGAGGTTGATCATTTTCTTTATCTTGTTCCTGCTATTTTGTGGTCATTGTTTTGCAGCCCAAATCTGGTAGTTCTTAGCCTATTGTCAAACTCAGTCATAAAGTTAGAATGGATGGCACAAACACTCCAGCAACCAACAGTAGCTGAAAAGATTATCCAGATCATTTTTGTCCTTCTTAGTCCTTCAAGTCATAATTGATGGTAACAATGAAATATTACTACCTAACAACAAGAGAGTGACAGGAAAGAAATAAAAAGAACAACTGAAGGGGAGAATAGTGCTCCTTCTGTGCTGCTGGTCTCCATTATTCATCACTGCCTAGTAAACCTGTCACAGGATAAGCAAAGAACATAGGGAAACACGGGAACTGGTAAGTTCATAGTCCATTTACATAAACATATATGTTTATAGCCATTGTCATAATTTCTTATAAGAAATTAATTTGTAAGGCAGGCTACAATTTGCAAAATATAGCATTTTCTACATGCTAATTAGTCCCTGTAACTTGAATGCATAATTGAAACATTCATTATATTAATAGCAAAATAAAAATATCACAATAATAATAAAATAAAAAATTAAGGTTGTATGCCACCAAGAGTCTTTCAAGGGAAGCAGGCAGGCATAAAACAAAAGCTCTGAGAAAAGGTTGTCCTTACAATGTCAGATCTTCTCAGTATTTACACAATGCCTTTCTTTAGTCTAAGCAATGCCATTTCCACCCCACTGCCCTTAAATGCCTGCCCTGATTTTTCCTTCCTGTATCCCCTCAGCTGCAGGTCTCAGGTGCATCTTTTCTGATTGTATCAAACTGATCCTTTTATTTATATTTTGGGAACTGTGAGGTTCAGCACGTGGAATTGTTTAAGGAGGCTAAAAGGGGCACAGGTTCTTTTCATTGGCAGCCCTTCCACGGAACCAAATACTATAATAAACCAAATACACCAATAATCCAAAACATGCTTCACCTCAAATTCTTCCTCTCAATTTCAACTATGAGAGCATGGTGGACAGAAATACACACAAGCCAATGCAGCTGTTCGGGCTCAGGATGGAATAATCAAAAACTGGATGTAGCCTTAATTCATGGGGCAGCTACAAATGAAAGGCTATAGAACAGGATATAGTCCAATAAACTTAGCCTCCAATTTGATGGCTAATAGCCCTTTTTAAAATCATCATAGTTCCATTCAGCTGAAAAGATTTGCCAGAAAGAAAAGAATTCACAATAGAGGAGACAGTTCTCAAAATGTAGAACAGATTATATAGAACAACTCTGGACACAAAATCAAAAGCAACTATCTTTACAACAAGGGCAAGATATTTGAACAGAAGCTTAAGACTTCCCGAGAATCTGAATTCCACTGACAGAAATCTCCTTCTTGGTTAGATGGTGAGTAAAATGGTTAAGGCAGCTAAATTAGGAACAACTTCATCAGTGATGGGATTCCATTTTTTTTACTACCGGTTCTGTGGGCGTGGCTTGGTGGGTATGGATACTGTAAAATCTCCAGTCAGAGGTGGTATTTGCCAGTTCTCCGAACTACTCAAAATTTCTGCTACCGGTTCTCCAGAACTGGTCAGAACCTGCTGAATACCACCTCTGAATTTCATGTTAAAAGAGAAAATCGGGGTGAGGCACATCAGCCTTACTGTACTGGTGCTATAAAAATTATTCTATTATTTCTCTGGATTTTATTTTTTAACTAAAAGCCAAAACAAACATAATGGTTTGCTTTTTGCCTCTGCAAAAATCAATGCCAATCCAAAACAATTCAGGAGAATTTCTGGGTTCAAATTAAAACTCATTTTACATTTCATGTCTGCCACTTATTATGTTAAAATTTGGATGAATGGGAGAGCTATCCTTTGAACTTCTTTTAGCCATAGCCATGACCTTATATGAGCTGTTTGCTGAGCATGTTTTTTTAAAATTGTTTAACTAGAAATCGATGAGCCAGGTTTACAAATATTGTCAGTCTTCTTTGATAAAATTGTTTTTACTTCCATATAAATGAGACAAAATAACCTTAAACCAAAGATCACACTTCTGGAAAGGGAAATGTGAGGGTCAAAAACGTATGGCAAAATAACACAAGAATGGGCATAATCAAAATTTTCTTTTTCTTTTGTCAGGGAGAGCAAATGAATATTTGCATCTCGATTCCCACAAAGGAAAATCATTCCAATTTGGGACGAAGAAGTTAAGCAGTGAAAATGTACAAACCTACTTCTGAAAATTCTCCCCACCACCACCACGGCCCCCCGCTGCTCCCCACCAAAAGGGAGTGAGTTTTTGATCCTGATCTCTGAGGACATTCTGGCATTTTCAAAATGAGGGAGATGACAGGCTATTGTGATGTAAGTCCTTGACTTACAACGACAACTGAGTGCAAAATTTCCATAGCTAAATAAATAAATTTTGCCCCTTTTTATGATCTTTCTTGCCACAGTTGTTAAGTGAATCATTGTAGTTATGTAAATAAGATGGTTGTAAGTGAATGTGGCTTCCCCGCTGACTTTGTTCATCAAAGGGTCACAAAAGGTGGTCACATGACCCTAGGACATAGCAACTGTCATAAATATGAATCAGTTGCAAAGCGTCTGAAGTTTGATTATGTGACCATGGAGATGTCACAACAGTTGTAAGTATGAATGCTTAAATATCATGCTTGCTTTTCTGCATTCAATCTTCATGTAACTAACTTTTTAATCAGGATTTGCAAACTTTTTACCATTTGTCACTCCTTCATCAGAGATGTCAACCAACTGGAAAGGAAAAGCGTTATCTCGATTTTCATACATGAATCCTCAGAACAGTTCAGTATTAGCCAATCTTTGAGCCACAAAATGCAGCTTCTGAATCTTCTTCTTTTGCCTTTGACCCTGCACCTAAATGTGTACGTGTAAATGTATAAATCTACATATACGTAGGAAAATAATGTCTTTACCTTTCTACAGCCATGATCCTCCTCTTTCCCCTGACTTACTCGACCTCTTTTCTTACAGACAGAAGGCAATGTCTGATTGCAAGGACTGTCATTCCATCTTCCTTCCTGGATGGAAGCACAGCAATTTCAACTTAGTAAAAGCAATTTTCACAATTGGGCCCAGTTTCCAAATATTCTAAACTTAATATTGTATCTCACCACGTTCCTGTGTCAACTATATATTTACCAATTTAAACAGTTTTGCAAAGGCTTTATTGTATGCAAATTTCTAATCTAATACTAGTTTAATCTTCATGATATCTTTTGCCTTTTGTATGAGACTATCAATTTGTATTTTAGTACAAAAAGACTTTTTGCAATGCTGACCTCTTCAGCACATGCCTGGGTATATTTCTGCAAACTTTGCTTCAGAAATCAGTTTTTAAAACAAGTATATGAAAGTTTTAAATGTTTTAAAAGCGTTATTTATTCCTGTTATACAGCTATTGGCAAAACCTCAAAAGGCTTCAAAAAGTAAATGTTTTGGAAAAAAATGTTTATCAATTTTTCTGGATGATCCAACTATAAAAAACAAATTGGAATGGATTCCTACAAAGCTTTGTCCACTTTAGCTGTCTGTGAAGAAAATAAATAGGTCTCAGACTACCTAATTGTTTTGGGCAAAGTTGGATAAGTCATTTCCAAATTTCTTTACAATCAAATCTGTTTTAAGGAAAAAAAGAGTGCACATCCCTTAAGATTCCAAAATCGCAAGTCATTAATGAGGAGTTATAGTTATTCACCTACAAGTACATAGTATTATTTTGACTTTTTGATATATGCAGTACGAAGAGTCTTCTTTATACTAAAATTATATATTTCTCTCATGATAGAAAGATTTCCAAAATTTTACTCATACCGGTCCCCAGATAGTCACACAATCTTCAAGGCTATCTCGGAAATTATTGGGCTCAAAAGGATGCCAGAATGTAAATTGCACTGGTGTGCCATCTGACCACTCAAAATTCATCTGTAGTCGAAGATCATTCAGACCAATCCAAAGTTCTTCAACATCTGGCACAAAAGGGAAGAAAAGAAGAGAGTTTATACAATCCTCTTCTCTGTATATGTTAGTAATGCACTTCTTCATATTCGCTACATCACATAATGCACATGAAGTATGTCTACTTCTGCCATTCTAATTTACTTGCCCTCTCTAATATATAAAATATTTAGCAAAATGCTGCTAAATTCATGAATACTTCCATGAAAACAAGGAATTTAGAATTTGGATGTAGCACCCAGAAATGTTGTATGTAGTTGTATGTAATGTATTTGGGTGTAGCACCCTTCCTCTGTTGTAATTTATCTTTACCTTTATTCCCAAACCTACAGTAGCTCAATTTCAGCATTGCCTTTATCCTCTCTATTCCATGTTCTTTTCAGGAATATTTTCCACAAATATACAACACAGTGATTCATCTAAAAATTCAGTCAGTACCCCCCCCCCAAAAAAATAAACTTAAATTTTTAGAAAAACCAATTTAATTTTGAGGAGGAATAGCCTCATAATTGACCCAAAGATCAACAATCAGCTAAATGAAGTATGGAAGTAATCATTTTGATTATCAAAAAATGTCAATTCAAGGCACAATCCAGCTAATCAATATTTTTAATTGAACCAAGACTTGTTAGAAACAAGAAGGATCTGTTTCCTTTTAGCTTAATTCAGTATTCTGTCAGTCAAGAACTTGGTTCTTCTTAAAATGTTAAGCAGAATAAAATCTGGTTATTATTTGGACATGTAACCATGAAAAAATATCAGGTCTAGGTAGCCTAGAAATCTTAAAAACATTGAAGGCAATGGCAAACAATTTCCATCTTGTTGCAAAGAAAGTTATATTTATGAAGTCACCAAAGTTCGACTTGGACATGTCACCATTTTAAAACCACTGGCCACAGAGCAAGCTAATTGGATAAGCATTTTACATCTAACTCACATCTTATTTTCTGTAAATTCTATCATAGAAATTCACTACCCATTTTGTAATATGATTACAGAGGTGGGGGAGAGAGAGAGAGAAAGAGATTGTGGTAAAGTACATAGGTACCACTCTTCCACTCCTCGACACGTTCTGTGTGTGCTCTATGTGATCACCAATCTTCTAGTCCTCTCTTTTTCACTTTGACTGCTACCATGGCAGTCATTTTATAAATGAGATTACCCACTGCAGAGCTGTTGCTTAAGGAGAATGCTTGGGATACGAATTCGAAATTCTGAGTATACCTCAACCTATAAGGGTCCAGAGAGCATGATAAAATCAATTATTCCTTACCTTGCTTGATTTGCTTGGAGACAAACTCCAGTTCAGATAGAGTATGGATGCTCACCAAATCCCCTTCACTGCGCAAGCAAGTCTTTTTGGCATCTATCCAAGTTTTCTTTTCACTTATCAAACGATAGCAGTTAGATTGGAATGGCTGCCAGCTGGGATCACAATCAATCTTCACTTCAGATTCTACTGGGATTATAGCGCATAAATTTAAGAGATTCTGAGAGCCATGGGACATAGTTGTGCGACTACAGCCCAGATGTATAACCCAGAAAACAGACTATTATAAACCTAGCACAGAACTTTAGTTTCTGCCATATAAATCATCCTACTAATTCCTTAATCACAGATATTAATAAAAAGATTTAAACTAAAAGCCTTTGTTCATAGTTTTCCATAATTACTTTCAAAAAGAATGCAAACATTTATTCCCTTCTTATTCCTTACATTGGTGCCCTAAGTGTCTGGCTTTCAGGCTCTGAAAGTCTTTTACCTGTGTACTTCCGTAAATTATTCAATATAACACTCTCCCCTCAAAATAATCACAAAATAAATATTAAAATAATCTAACAATTAAAAGCCCCGTGAAAAGATACATCTTACAGATTTTCTAAACATTGAGAGGGCAGGGAAATACAATCCAGAGCCTCGGAACAACAGAAGATCCTTTTTATATATCAGAAAGTGAGTTTTCCTGCTGATTAAAAGAAATGGACAAATTTATCATGGAAAAGACAGAACTTATCCATTCAGCCACTTGCCCAACTTATTGTGTCCTTACACAAAGATCACCATCTTCGTGCTAGCTTGCTGCTGAGTGAGGCTTAAGCTGTATCAAAGCAATCCAGCAAGAAGAGACACTTTTCATTGAAAAACTAAAGAAGATACCTACATGAGTGCTCCATGTTCAGTCAAGAGATCAGTCATTTTCATAAGATTGGCACTGGCTGGGCTCCTAACTGCTCTTGCAAAATCAAACCCTCTATTTAGGCTGCCAGAAAGAATATAACCATGCACCACAAGCTTTTCCCCCTGAGCTCGTGGAAAACTTCCCTAAGATCTACAGGTAAACTTGATATAACTTTCCCATTTATGGTTTACACGGTTTCTTATGAATCCTATAAACAACAGGTGGAAGATGGGAGGTCCTGGCAATTGCTGGAACCACAAAGTGAATACATCTATAAGAAGCTGCTACTGCAAAGTACAATGCCTGTCCAGTGCTTTGCCTCAAAAGCAAAACTTTTAATTTCAGGAAACCATAGCAATTGGCTTAGAATCATAACTTTGGGGGGGGGAATTAAGAGGTCAAGCAATTCAATCTGTATTCAGGGCCCATATTTAGTATCTTTGGCTATCTAACCTCTCTTTGAAGACCAGTGTGAAAAATCAAGCCTCAGGCCAGGAAAGAATCTGGCAGCAAATATAGCGGAGAAGACTCTTGTGAAAGGAGCTGGGAAGCCAGCACTGAGGTTATTTCTTCACAGGCTGGTATAAGAGCTGATTTTGTATGCAGAACAGGTTTGCAAAAGGCACTTTGCCTGGGTGTGATGCCAGGGTACTCCCTTAGTTCAATGGTGATTGTGGATTTGTTCGTTTAATTTTTCCTCTGCTCCTACAACTGGAGGAGGTATCTGCCACTCTTTTGTTATGAGGACAGGAACTCTATTGGCATTTGTCAAGGCACAGTAAAATAAATTTGCAGCTGCTACCTGCAAATCCAGTGAAAATCAAAGAGCATTCAACTCATTAAATGGGAATGCAAATCTATCTCAAAAGAGGTTACCTGAATCCCTCAGAGCACTTCTTTATTTATTTATAGCATCCCCATTTTATCTGGACTTGTTTTCAATTTTTTTTCCTTTTGGTAAGATCATTTATTGAACTTAGATAGCCTTCAAGAGTACAAATTCTTCTGCTCAAATTGAACAAGTAAGGAACAATTAAACTGGATATCTCAGCATACTGAAAATATCACACACCAAAAGGTTCACTTGGTCCTTTTGGAGTGAGATATGCAACTTAACTCTTTTTGATGGCTTTCTTCAATAGATCCCTATTGCAGCCTCTTCCAAGCTAGAGAGGAATATCTTTTTCTGGTAAAGGCACACTGACCATTTCTAGCTGGTTCCATTCTGGCCAATTTATTCAGGTAAAAGGGTCAAGGCTAGGCACATAGCTTGTGGATTCATTTAATCCTGTCATCCAAAAAAGCCGACGGTAATATACAATACATTTCCTCATTTACCATACAATTTCTCCAGTAGCAAGGCCCCGTGTGAGATTTTCTGCAAAAACCCATTTCATATTCTGCAGTATTGTTATTGTTTATGTTTAAACTAAAATATTCAAATTGTTTGGGTTTTTTGCATTTTCTAAATTACGCACCTGTGAAGTATGTATTAGAAGTGGCATTTGGTTTCTTCTTACAGATATATGGCAAAGCAATGCTGCAATCCCGATTCTGCCATCCTCCTGAGGACTCTGTCCGTATCACCCCGCAATTTTCTTCATTGGGATTATCAGGTTGATCTGTAAGAGAAGAAGAAACCCTACCTCTGCAACAACCAATCTTCAAACAAACAAACAAAAAATCATAACCCAAGAATGTTATTTCAGTATTAAGGATTCAGTCTTGGATCGACTCTGATTTTCAAGGATTGACAAGACGTTCTTTTCAGATTTTGTTATCAGAGATGAAGAAAAATATACATCGTGCTGATGATGATGAGGCTGCGTATGGGAAGTTAAAGCAATTTCTGTCCAATACTACAAAATAACTGGATAAACCAATCACAGAAAAGTAAATAGCCTCAAAAATATTATCGTCTTAAAATGTAATACTAAGTTTTAAGACTAGTTACCTTTATTTCAAATAGTTTCCATTCCATGCAAAGGTTGGATTTTTTAAAAATAGATTACTATTATCATATTACTTTAAATTGTACATTAAAGCCAAACAGTACATCTGTAGTGAAAAAGGACAGGGTATGTTTGATCCAATGTTTGCTAACAATATCATATTTGGACTGTAAAAATTCAAATATGTTCCTCTAACTATCATCTAGGGGCTGCTCAAATTATTGCATCCCAGATATGGCAGTTCGACTTTGACTTAATGGCATATACTTCTTTCATGCAAATTCTGAAAAGTGGAAAATGGCCTTATCTGAGATAATGTTTTATATTTTGCCTAGCTTTTCATTTTACACACATGCACACACACGCACACACACTATGGGAATATATATTTACACAATAGGAATCTATACAGTTAATAAGCAAGATTTGTTTATACTCTAATTATATAAAATATGTGTTATTTTTATTTGTGTAATCTCATTTAGTTTTCAGTTTCTGTGTCAAACTTACCATTTTCCCAATTAAGGAACTTCAAGGGGGAATTGTCAGACCATTGCCAGCCCCCATTGAGGTCCAAATCATTAAGCCCAATCCAGAGTGTGGAACCATATCCTGTCAGCAGTCCTGGTAGAGTCAGAGAAAGATAGAAGTCACAGAAGCAGATCCAGGGGTGGGATCCTACAGGTTCGCACCTATTCGCTAGAACTGGTTGATAACATTATAAGCAGTTTGGAGAACCGGTTGTTAGAAGAAATTACTGGCCTAATCCTGTAAGGAAGGCAGAAAGGAAACATTCTGGTGTTGCCTACAGAAACTGCCTCTCTGTTAACATTCTTGGCAGGACTAGACTTCCTGTCTCTGGAACTTCTCTGGAGTTTATTTTCCCTCCTTTGCTGGTAGTTTGCTTGTGTGGAATGACCATTCAAAGTTACAATGGCACTGAAAAAAGTGACTTATGACCATTTTTCACACTTACGACTGTTGCAGC